CACCCCGCTCACCCCGCTCACCCCGCTCACCCCATTGACCCCGCTCACCCCGTTGACCCCACTCACCCCACACACACCCACTCACCCCGCTCACCCCCACTGACCCCACTCACCCCCACTGACCCCACTCACCCCCGCTCACCCCACTCACCCCCGCTCACCCCGCTCACCCCCACTCACCCCTCTCACCCCCACTCACCCCGCTCACTCCCACTGACCCCGCTCACCCCCACTCACCCCGCTCACTCCCACTCATCCCCGCTCACCCCGCTGACCCCCACTCACCTCGCTCACCCCCACTCACCCCGCTCACCCCCACTCACCCCTACTCACCCCCGCTCACCCCGCTCACCCCCACTCACTCTGCTTACCCCCACTCACCCCGCTCACCCCCGTTGACCCCACTCACTCCCGTTGACCCCACTCACCCTGCTTACCCCGCTCACCCCTACTAACCCCCGTTCACCCCCACTCACCCCGCTCACCCTCACTAACCCCACTCACCCCCACTCAGCCCTACTCACCCCGCTCACCCCGTTAACCCCACTCACCCCGCTCACCCCCACTCACCCCGCTTACCCCCGCTGACCCCGCTGACCCCGCTCAGTCACAATTATATTGATGTCAACTGGTAACGCTGCGCCACCACCGCACGCTGTTCGCTCGCTCTCTTAGAGAGAGAGGAGAGAGAGACGGACCAACTCAGAGGAGGAGGAACCTCAGACGAGTAGTGGGAAGGCAGCAGCGACAGCAGCCACGTGGTGGTGAGGAGCCGACGCTACCAACAGTTGCCCATGCTCTGCGGTCTTCTATATACGAAGGTCAATGAATGAGTATTAACACGTGGGAGAGAAAACAGAGGACACGGGAGGAAACCCATGCGCGGGCGCGAAGGGGCAACGCTTGATCCTGTACAGACGGAACAGGTGGAGTTCCACATTTTTGGCCGTAAGCGCCAACTCGTGGGGAGCCAGGGTGCGGCTCCTCCTCCACAGCCGCAGGAGGGGAGTATTGTAAAACCCGCATGTGATCCACCTACCTCGCTGCTGCCTCCACAACGCCCCATGATCACCGGGCCCCGTGCGCCGTAGCCACCGCCCGGCTGATGAGACGCCGGCACGCACGGTGCACGTGGCGTCACCGTGAGCTCCGTCATTCCGATTGCCGCGGTGCCTTTGTGAGCCCTTGGAACCGCGGTCAAACCGTTTCACGGTCGACGCCGTTGCTGAGCACGATCGGCCAGCAACAAACCGCACCATACAAGTTGTGAGATAGATCTATCAGAGTTAACACGTTCCTTAAATTGAGTGGGGGAAAGCGACGAGGATGACTACGACGACGTTCGATGGCGACGACCGGAGGAGGGAATTCCAGAGTGGGGCAGTGCGAGCGCAAGGGCAATGTGATGGGTGAGTGTGTGGGTGAGTGAGTGAGAGTGATTAGGTGTGTGGGTAAGTGAGTGCGAGTAAGTAGGTGTGTGGGTGAGTTCGTGGGTGAGTGAGGGAAAGTGCGTAGGTGTGGTGGGTGATTGCGTGGGTGAGTGAGAGTGAGTAGGTGTGGGGGTGAGTAAGGGAGAGTGAGTAGGTGTGGTGGGGGATGGGCAGTTGTGGAGAGAGTGGAGAGTTTACCATACCTGGGCAGTGTGGAGAGAGTGGAGAGTTTACCATACCTGGGCAGTGTGCTCATGACCGGCTCCAGTTTGACAGCAGAGGTCTCACTCCGAATCAGTCGAGCGGCATTAATCTTTTCATCGGTTGCGTAACGCTGTGTGGAAGATACCTGGCCTGTCTCTCCGCACGAAGCTTCAGGTCTTCTCTGCCACAGTCATTTCCTCCCTTCTCTATGCTTGTGTAGTGACATCGCGGATGTCACTGTAATGCCGGCCCGAGAGAGGCACGGCATGCGATGTATCGACATCGCGGGCACCACGTATATGTGGGTGCAGTACCGGCCCTAGAGGTACTCGGTGAGCACTGACTGGCAGTGCTTTGCGTGCAGTGCCGACCCCTATAGGGTAGGGTGTGATAGTGCCGGCCATGGGAATGGGGTTACTAATGGCCATGGCACTCTGGTTGACCCCGAAGGACACGTGACCGGTATAGTCTACACAGGGGTGGTCACGTGTCAGGGCCGGGAACCTGCTAGAGGATTCCAGAAGGTGGTCGTGGCTAAGGGCGGAGCTAGCCCCGCCACAGAGGATAAAAGCCGGGTCCCCGAGAGAGACCGGCTGTTCTTGTTCATCCTGAAGAATCTACATTCTACATCCTACAAGAGTCACCAACACTTGGACCCGGACCCATGCCAGGGTCAGATCCATCGTAGCTAATTCCCGTGTAATTAGTGTAGATAGCCTGGTGGTTTACCACTATAGGTTGTTAATGTGTTAAGGGGTAGTACCCCGTGTGTTGGTTTAATAAATGTGTGTTGCCTCCAAGAAGTGCATCTGCGACGCAGTTGAACTCACTACACTTGCGAAACGTGGATCCCTCCTAATGAAACATCTTCGCCTGTTAGAAACATTTAGGCTGGCCTGCCGACGATCCATCCTGGGTTTAACCAGATCTGGACAAAGTCCCATTGGTGAGCTCCTCCGTCGGGCAAGGTTGCGTTGGCTGGGTCATGTAGGCCACATGCCCAGCCACCACATGCTTAAACAGCTTTTGTTCAGCCGGATCGAGGGGGCTAAACGGGCGCGGCATGGGCTAGAGAAGAGATGGAGTAATGTGGTACAGGAGGATATGGAGCTGAGTGGACTTGCCAATGACTGATCCCAGCGGTGTCAAGATCAGCCTCTGTGGAGGAGGCTCGTGAAGGACGCTACTGGGCAGTTGGAGGCAGTCGCCCTCCAACAACAACGGAGGGCAGAGGAGCAACGCTCACAACAACGAGCGGAGCGCTGGGTGGCTAAAGCACAGCAAGTTTGCACAGTAGGGGGCACAGGGTGGTGCATCAGCCAGTCGTCTCAGTCATCTCAGTCAGTCGACCCGTGGCACCTGGGTCTGCACCGTGACCTGCCAGCGGGCGTTCGACACTTCACGTGGCCTCAAAGTGCACATAGCCTGGCAAAAGCGTCGTGGTGACGTCACCGCCACTTAGTGGCGAATGGCGGTTGTTGTGAGAGTGAGTAGGTGTATGGGTAAGTGCGTGGGTGAGTGAGTGAGAGTGAGTAGGTGTGGGGGGTGAGTAAGGGAGAGTGAGTAGGTGTGGTGGGTGGGTCCGTGGGTGAGTGAGGGTGTCAGTAGGTGTGGTGGGTGAGTGAGTGGCAAGTTGGGGAGTGATTGAGCTTGGGAAAAGGAGACGATGATGGCAGAGGATTTATTCAAGGTCGTAATCCGATTCGAAGATCAATTGTTGTATTTTAGCATCATCGCGAGTGTAGCGGCCACCAGTGGCTGGTCTCGTTAACCCGTTTACTGACGGCACGAACCCTGCCTTTGATGGAGCCCGACGACCGAATGGCACTGCACACGCACGATCCCACCCGGTGCTGGGAGCCAAGCGGGTTGGGCCCAGTTCGTGCCTGGTGGGGAGGCTGCCCCCGGAGACACAAGTGGAAGAGGAGACTTAAGAGCAGATGATGGGAGACTGTCAGGGCAGATCTGTGGGTCTGTGTGTGTCTCCATGTGAGCCTGTGGGTCTCCATGTGAGTCTGTGAGAGTCAAAGGTCAAATGGTACAAGGCTGTCCGGGTAGATCTTGGTGGCCTCCGTGTGTCGACTGCATGAAGGGTAGAGCGCGGTGGTGGTGAGGAGCTGCTGTGGTGGTGAGGAGGTGCGGTGGTGGTGAGGAGGTGCGGTGGTGGCGATGTCGTCATCGCTGGGCTTGGCCACGGTGACGACATCGCCATCTTGGTTATACGCCGTGCTCGTTGGCTCCTTTAAGCCACTTGCTGGCAGTCGCTCTGGCGGTGACTCTGGCAGTCATGCTGGTAGCTATGCCGGCAGTCACTCCGACAGTCACACCGACAGTCACACCGACAGTCACACCGACAGTTATGCTGGAAGCCTGGCAGGCTTCGGGTCTCGGTAATCTGTACGCGCACCGGGACCTTGTGTCAATCTACCGCGAGGACGTGTGACCTCCCCACGCCGCGCGGGTCCTTGGGACTGTTTGACCGTACTTCACCGCAGTACCGGCCACCTCGCAGAAATCGTCGGAAATTTGACGCCCGCGAGGGCTGAGCGCAAACCCCTCGCGGCCGCCACCGTCGGGGTCGGCCATGAAGCTGTCGCCGTGGCAACAGACGGCCTCCGCACCTCCCCCCCGCCCGCTTCTTCCTCTTCCCCGGTCGCTTGCGAAGGCACCGGGGCCCCCCGTTCCCCACGCCGCCCACGCGCGGCTCCGGGCCTCGCGCAGCTGTGGCGGCGGGACGGGCAGCATTGGCGATAGCCCCCCCCCCCCCTTCGTTGTCAGGGTGGTGGCAGCGAAGCAGCGGGTGGCGCAGAGGTGCGGCGCGTGGCGGGTGGTGAGAGCTCACCGCCACCGCTGCGGTGCACAGCGTGCGGTGTGTGCGGTGCGGGGAGGTGTGGTGCTGCTCGTCACGGCACATTTGCGTCTCTTCCCGGCCTTTCTGTTATTCCGACGTCTGCCTGAGGCGTCCCGACGGTTTGCGGCTATGCCTGATGGGACTCCGCCCCGCCATAGGAATGTGGAATTTTCACAACTGGCGTTGAAGGGCTATAATAAAGGGGTTGAGCACCATTGCCTCAAATGTTCTCATGAGCAGGAAATCGCTTTGTTTTCCTACAACTGCAGCTGATTCTGTCTGCCTCGACAACCCTGGCAATATTTCCATGCCCGGCACACCGCATGGGTATACCTGTCCCAATGACTGTGGTTGCTGGTCACGCGCCAACTCACGGGTCTGCCAGCAAGCTGATTTCAGCCAAGGCAGAGGAACACGTGGATTAGAGAATATCCGTGGGTCGGTGACTTCATCCAAAGAGAAGCGAGTCGGCCTCAGGCAGGACAGGATGTGTTGCGGTCACAAGGGACGATGGCCGATGGTCAGGTATAATAACAACAACGGAGTGGCAGCAAAGGAACGGAACGCTCGAGAGAGGGCACCCACTATGAAGGAGATGGAGCGGCGGAACCAGTTTGTGCATCGCCAGGTGCCGGATGGATTGTTGCCTCGCAGAATCGTGTGGAAGTTGGCGGCGGCATGGGGAGGCATTCATCCAGCGGTGCATTGACCACGGACGATGATGACGATTGTTAAACCGTTCGTTGCGCGACCGCGGTGCTGCTGGGCTCTGCAGCCGGAGAGGAGCTCACGGTGCTCGTTAGAACGTCTCGTGGAGGAATCTCACTGGGGCCAAAATCAAAAACGCAGGCTGAGCCGCACGCTCCTCCGCTGTCAGTGGAGCCACCCAGCTTGCAGCCACCCAGAGGCGGAGCTCCCCAGCAGTGGAACTACCACTCCGATCCGCACTGCTCCCTTGTTGTTGACTCCCACCCTCGCCGAGTTCATTTCCCAGCTGCCACGGTTAACGTCAGTGGCGAGTGGTAGCCGAACCAGTGCTGCAGCCTTCATGAGGTCGATCCAGCCTTGAATATGAGCAGCTGCTAAGGCAAGGTGGAACAGAAATATGTGTTTGTGGATTGAGGTTATTAGATCATTCAGTTTACCTCCGTGGAGGCTGGCTAGATGTGTGAGACAATGCATCCGGGCCCTGAGGTATCCCAGTGCGCCGCCTCGTTTACGTCTCTGTGTGCGTGCGCTTTCCCGCGCGTCGTCTTTGCGCGCAAGCCGCGGCGAAGGTCTCCCCCCGGCGCCGCGTGCCGTCTCGTCACGACGAGCGGCCGCGCCGTCGCAGACACGCGGCGAGGCTGGCGGTGGCGCCGTGCGAACCACGTCGCCCGCCGGCCACGCGGCACAACTGAAGCGCCTTGACCGCGCTGCCTCGGGGCGCCAGTCGACTAAATCCCTGGCGCCGGGCTCCTTGCGCCCCTCTCTGTCCAAGGCCTTGCGATTCCCCTCGATTTCAAAGGACCCGTGAGCCTCGTCGATTGTTTGGGCAAACGTCCCCGCCGGATTAGCACAGTTGGCTACGTACGGTGCGAAAGAAGTTCAGCACTAGATGAAGAATCCGTTCGGATGACTCGCAGTGCAACGCGACCCTCCTCTGTGTTGGAGAACGGCCCCACGTAGCCAAACGCGCTAATCGGAGGTGCGCGGCAAGGACAACAAACTTAACACAAAAAGCAGTTCGAATGAGATGAGTTTTCAATCTAGATGATTTAAAGTGGCTTCCTAATATCGGAATGAAGAGCATTCCAGACGGCCGCAGAACTGTATCCGGTGACCACCATCTCTGTTTGATGGCTAAGCCAAAAGCTGCCGCCGCTGCTGCCGTTGCGAGGATGAACGGAGTTCGCGTGATGACGGTCTATGCCCCTTGACGAGATCAGCGCAGAGGTGCCACCGGTGGCCGAGGCATGTCGGCGCCCGTCGGCGTTAACGCCGCACAATTCGAGCACCGCCTTGGCTTGCGGGGATGCGGTGGGTGGCGGCAGGGGGGTAGGGCGAGTGCATTGGGAGCGGGGGAGTGGGGGGGACTCTGGCCAAGGCGGCCCGTTGTGTAACGCCGCCTCCTCCCTGGCGCGAGTGCGAGCGGCCGGGCCGGCGTCGCCGGCGCGGTCGGGCCACGGAGCCTTGATCGGCCGGGCAGCGAGGGGGAGGTAAGTCACGTAACGTGAAGCTTCAGCGGGGGTTGCGCCATGTGCAGTTGTCTGTTGGTGTTATTACATAGAGTGTCTGTGTGTGTGTCTGTGTGTGTGTCTATGTGTGTGTCTGTGTTTGTGTGTCTGTGTGTGTGTCTATGTGTGTGTCTGTGTTACAACCACTGTGCCCAATCATTCTATGTCAATCATTCACCCACTTCCCCCTCACCCCTCACCCACTTCCCCCTCACCCCTCACCCACTTCCCCCTCACCCCTCACCCACTTCCCCCTCACCCCTCACCCACTTCCCCCTCACCCCTCACCCACTTCCCCCTCACCCCTCACCCACTTCCCCCTCACCCCTCACCCACTTCCCCCTCACCCTCACCCACTTCCCCCTCACCCCTCACTCACTTCCCCCTCACCCCTCACTCACTTCCCCCTCACCCCTCACCCACTTCCCCCTCACCCCTCACTCACTTCCCCCTCACCCCTCACCCACTTCCCCCTCACCCCTCACCCACTTCCCCCTCACCCCTCACCCACTTCCCCCTCACCCTCACCCACTTCCCCCTCACCCCTCACTCACTTCCCCCTCACCCCTCACCCACTTCCCCCTCACCCCTCACCCACTTCCCCCTCACCCCTCACCCACTTCCCCCTCACCCCTCACCCACTTCCCCCTCACCCCTCACCCACTTCCCCCTCACCCCTCACCCACTTCCCCCTCACCCACTTCCCCCTCACCCCTCACCCACGCATTTACCCGCCGCTCTTTCATCCCTCACATCTCTCATCATCTTTATTATCACTTCTCACCCCCCCCCCCCCCCCGCGTGCGCGATGCGGGGCGAGGGAGCAGACGGCAGGACGATGTGAGGATGACGATGTGAGGATGAGCGCGCTCCCGATGGCGCGCAGCGTCCTTGCGGCGCTCTGCCTCACCCTGGTGGTCGGGTTCCTCTACTACTCCTCCGGCAAGCTGCACCAGGTGGCCTGGGCCCACGAGCCACGTGAGTGCCCCTCCCCTCCGTACCCTCTCCCCCATAACCCCACCCCCCTCCCCGTTTTATTTTCCAGTCCGGGCTCGAGCTGCTTCCCCATTCCCAATGAACCCTCTCGCTCGTCGCCGTCTCTCGGGAGACGAGGCGCCCACCTGCCCCGCTAGCCGCCCCCCGTGCAGCGGCCGTCGCCATCCCACCGCGGGATCCCTCGTGCCGCTGCACTGCGTCGAGTGCGCGGAAAGCGCCCGGCGTCCAGGGCGCCACCCCGCGTGGACCCCTGCACCCCGATGTCTTGCAGCGGCGGCCATGAATCGATTGGCTCGAGGAACGGTTTCCGCGGCGGGCGTGGGGGTGTTTCGCTTGCGTACGACTGAATGATGTAAAAAAAAGTCTAAAAGCAATTCAGGTATCGAATAAAAAAAAATCAACACGCTCATCAATAATCACGGAAAAACATGTGATGGGTGACGTTTTGGGCCACGCCTGATTTAACTGCACAGAAAGAAATCTCCACGAAAATAACATCAATTACGAGTTGACAAACACACGTGTGGTTAATGCAGACAGGATTCCTTGAAAGAGGATTCTATTTGGTGTTTGAACATCTTAGCACCTGTTTTATTGCCAGAAAGGGTAAAACCTTTTGTTAGGTTTTAACGTAAAAAATACGTAGGCTCTGACTATATATATTATTGTTCTCATATATTTTTTACATGATGTGTCGCATAGTGCTTTCGTGCCCCTGGAGTCAGTATTTTGGTCACAAACGCTTCCGCCCAAAATGATAAGAATGTGTCTCGCCAGAGCGTGGTAGCAGCGCCTCCTACTGCCGACACCGCGGCCACGACCCAAACGTGCGGAACAGAAACCTCCGAGTGCGCAAGACGCGCGCGTGGGATGGCACTGAGAGACGGAGAGACGAGGAACGTGTGGATTAGAGAACAGGATAGAGACATCATCATCATCATCCAGACTATCAAGAGAAGCGAGTGCGGCCTGGACAGGATGCCTCACGGATAGCACGGATGTTGGACGATGGATGGAACGCACCCAAGAGGGCGGCCAACCGGGGGGATGGAGCGGTGAGCTTGGTTCGTGCGCGGGTGGATCGTTACATCGCGGGATCGCGAAAGATGGCGGCGGCTTGGAGAGGCCTTGGATTGACGATGGCTGATAGTGATGACTTGGTGATACATCTTCATCGATTTGTGGGGAGGCGAGGGGTTCATCTCGCCAGCTGCCCCCCGCTATGCACCACCCCCCCGTGCCCCCTGCAGTGGCGCTGTCCGTGGCGAGTCCTGCGGTGACGCTGCCCGTCGTGAGCCCTGCGCGTGCGTGCCACGAGCAGCAGGGGGCAGCGCAGCAGCAGCGGCGCGGAGCGCGGATCCAGGCTGGCTTCTCGCTGCTCCATTGTTCTCCGTGCGCGTCCGCAACCACAGTTGCCCAGGTGATCGGCGAGCGGCTGGGCGAGCGGGTGGGCTGGGGAGCGGGCGCGGTAGCGAATGGGCGAGCAGTCCCGATGCTTGCCCAGGGTGCACTGAGAACTGAAGAGAGTCTGAGACAGAAAAGGTGCCGCTTGATTGACTAGAAGGAAGGCCCGCACGTGAAGAAGAAGAAGGCAACAAGTCAAAATCGGACGAAGGAAGCTGGAGGACGGAAGAGAGAAACTCAAGGCTCATTGAGTTCGAGCTCAGCTGTCACCTGCACACCCTGCCTGATGCCCTGAGCTGCACACCCTGCCTGATGCCCTGAGCTGCATGGGTGAGAAGAGGTGACCCTGTCAGGGTGCTACTCACGGCCCGGCGGGGGCGTTCTATATGCTGGCTGTGGCAGTTGGTCGTAACAATGCAACGATCCGTCGATTATTACACTCGATTATTGTGCTCGCGATATGCGGCGTTGAATCAGGAGGCGTGTAAGAGAATCTGGGGTATATACGGTTCCCAAAAAGTCTTCGCAAGTGGAGAGACGTATGCTGGGAATGTACACCGAGTGATGGCGAGGAGAGGACAGGGATTAGTAGAGAAACAAAACGAGAGACGCCCAGGTTGATCGTCAAAAAGAGTTGCGTCGGGCTGGACACGTCATCGTTGGATGGAGCGTCAGCCAAGGGAGAGAATGTCCACTGATGGTCGCCGGATGACACCGGTGATGAAGCGGCACGACCACCGCCGGCGATGGAGCGATGAGATAAGCTCTTGAGCTGGAGTGAGATGGATGGCGACGGTAACAACAATGACGCAACGCTCGAGCTCATTCTGGAGTAGAATTGTGTCCCAGAATGGGGACCTTGTGGAGTCGCCGGGGGGCAGTGGGGGGTGTGGATTGTCCCGTGCCGAATCGTCACCGTGAGCAGTGGCCCCTCGAGCCTCCCATCTGCTGCTCAGCGTGGCCCCGGTGGGGGACACATTGTGGCCGTGGTTGCGTTCCGTGCTGTGTCGCGCCGGATCTCACGAGAACCGCGCCCACGTAACCCACGCCGAGCTCACCGGCGTCCACGGACACGTGCGCGATGCCACGCGGGGCGCTCGAAACAAAACCCCCGCGCCAGTGAGCGCCGAGTGGCACGCCGCCCGCCGGGGCGTGCGTGCCCCGGACCGCGGTCCTGTCTCCTGCCGCAGCCCACTCGGAATCCGGCGGCAAACTGCAGCAAAGGGGATCCAACAAAATACGAGCGCCGAGCGCGAGGACCAGTTTACAAGACGCGGGGGCAAGTTACGTTCAAGCGTACCGTGTTAAGCTCGGAATGGCCGCACTATAAACACGGCGGTGATGATGGTTTTATTTTGGTGAGTGGCCGAGCTGGGGGGTGTGTTTTTTTTTGTCTTGTTAAAGCAGTCAGGCCGCATTGCCAAATTAGGCCCTGTCTATAAAGCGGAAGTTGGCAAGTGATTAGTGGTTGATGTTGCCGGACGGAACGGCGTAGGGTTTTGCATCGCGGTGGGTTCCCGGCGTGGATTCCCGGCGTCTCTCCACGCGTCTCCCTCTGCGTGTCTCCCGGCAGCTCTCCCCGTGTCTCTCCCGGCATCACGGCTCTTCTCGCCGTCTGATCCAAACGTGTGCCCGTCCGCGGCCCGAGTCTGAAAAGTTGTTTTTACAAAAAAACGATTGTTTTTAATGAGAACTACAGGGCAGCTTGTGGACACCCCCCCCCACCACCACTTGCCCTGCACGGGGCACTCGCGGTTCTGGTCCCGTGTGCGCCCCGTTTGATTCCCCCGCGGATGTTTGTCGGCGAGAGGGCATGTTAACAATTGCGGCGGTGACGTGACACAGAGTGGCGGTGGAGGCGAGCGAGGGTTTGCGGCGCTGGGATTGAACAAACACGGCACGCGGCGGGGGAGGGGGGGGCATCTGCCTCGGCGCGACGCCTCTACATGGGTGCACGGAGCAGCGTGTTTACGGCCCTCGTGGCATCCACGGGGCAAAAACATCTCATGCGCGCAAAAAATGCTTTTATTTACGCGCGCGTGGGCAGAGGTGTAGTCCGCTGAGGCTGTTTGCTCGTAAAGTTTGGCAGTCTGTGTGACAAGGAGGAGAAAATCTCACGCTTGAAGCATGCCGAAAATGCAGTGCCACGGTCATGAGCTTCGTCCTTTCAAGAGTTGCGGTTGCATCTCACGCGCCTGTTTGCGCATACGTGCACGTGCGCGAGGAGTCGAGGATTTCTTTGTGGTGATGCGGTGGCCGGTGAAGTCACGGTTATCTCATGCGTGCGTTTCTCCCGGCTCGTCGCAACAGCGTGCTGAGTAATGGCGCGAGGGTGATCGAGGCGCCTGCAGCCCCTCCGATAAAGCGTATAAAAATGGCAGGGCTTATCCACGCAGAGCGCCTGCAGTGCCCACGCCGGGCGCATTCCGCGCATCCGTGCCACTGCGCCGCTGTTGTGCCCGCAGCCTCGCAGCCCTCTGGGTTCAGGGGGGGAGCGGGGGGGGGATTGCGGGGTAGGGTTCCTCCTCCTCGCCGCCGCTGATGAATGTCTTGCGAGCGATTCTTCAACTTTGTTCGCCGCCGTCGCTGTTTTGAGAGAAAGCAGCGGGCTCGCCAAAACGGTCCGCGCCATGTTTGCGCACCGCGCCGGGCCCCCGTCCCGTCCACCGATTCCGCGCCACACCAAACAAAAACACCACGCCGGGCCCCGAGTGCGCGGAGGTGAAATCAACGTTTTTAACGCAAAATACCAGATGCTGAGAAATCATCAACTGCAGCGGTGAGATTTGTTGTTTTGAAGCCGCTCGGATGCTTATGTAAAACGGCTGAGCGGGACGATAAATCTGCGCGGGTCGCCGGCAGAGCTGGGAATAGAATGTCCCGTGTCCCACGTCCCGAGTCTCTGCCCGTATCCCCTCCCCACTCCCCAACCCCCTCTCGCTCGCTCCTCTTTGTTTTGGACCCCGCGATAACTGCGGTTATTATAATGGTCCTCTAACAACGGGGTAAGACGAGTCAATAATTACGCTCGCATAAGTCCCGTGCCGGGTCGCTCTGAGTAGTCCTGAGCAGTGGCAGTTTCACAAGGCACACGAGTTAGAAAGTTTCAAATGATTCAAATGTATCACATTTCCATGAGTTATATTTTCCGAGGTAGTTTTCAAGCAATTTGAAAAAATAAACAAAGCTTTCCTCCGATCTAATGCAGCCGTTGTGAATTACAATTTGAGACAAGCAGCTGCCCATTACTGATTGATCCGACTCCGTTCTCGCCAGTCTGGCCGAGCTCGCTCATAGCGCCCGTGGCCAGTGAGGCAGGAAGTGGCGCTGCCGACGCCACCACCGCCGGGCCGCCGTGACCGTCGCCCGTGCCCCGAAAGTCCAAACGGACGTCTCTTGCGAATTCGACGTGGCCTAAGGACCCGCGCCCGACTCGGAATGCGATTTCCTCCGCGTGATTCACCGTGTCCCGGCGCAGGCTCGGCAGCGGCGAGCGCTGGCCTGCGGTCCCTCAAACAAAACTCGCACCGTTCCCACCTGCGCCTCGAGCGACCCCACACGGACGCGACGGTACGTGTCGCTCGCAGCCCTTAACGTGCGTGCCGCGCCAGACTCGCGTACGAGCGCGGGCCTCCTTTCCCACTCTACGCTCGCTCCCTCCGCCCGTGTGCGCTCGGCTCGAAGTTTCAAGTCGTGGGAAGCGCCATGGTTAATGCCCTGAGCGCGGACGCTGCCTCGGGGCTGCAGGGCCCGGTGGGAGAGCCGGGCGGCCGGGCCGCCGAGTGACGAGACCTTGTTCTGCTTGTTTCCCTCCCCCCCCTCTCTTTCTTGCAGAGTTTGATCGGCTGGGATTCGTGCTTAAGTTCGAGCCGCGAGGGTGAGTCGAGACATGCCTTTGTAATTTTATCCCGCTAGGCCGCCGCGGCGGTCGCGCCACTCGCTCGCTCGCCCACCGATAAAGAAGACGGCGGCGCCGTTAAAACATCCATCCCTCTACGCCATGATGCCGCTCGGAGCCCTCGCGTTGCTGAATTGCGCGAGAGGTTAATTCTTCCTCGGGCCGGCAGGAATCGCTTATTTACTTTAAGTGAACAAAGCCGTCGACTCTCGCTCGGCGTGTTTTCGTAAGCGGGTGTAACAAGTCGCCGACTCGTCCTTTAACAGCCCGCGGAGGCAGCGGTGGGAGCCTGCGACGGTGCTGTTTGAGTTATCCTAATGGGACGCTTAAGCCAATGGGTGCAGGCAAAAGCCGCGTTGAGAAGAGGCGCCTGAGGTGACTCCCGAGATGCTAAACGGAATGAGTTTGTGATTCAAGCCGTGGCCCCGAATTGTCAAAGTTCTTCAAATTGCCGTTTAAACCCCGGTTCCTTGCGGCCTTTTGTTTAATTTGGGCAAGCAAAGAGCGGGTGGTGGGGGGGTGGTGGGGGTTTGGGGAAGTGGGCGGGGGGGGGGCTCCACGTTGTTTGACAAAATCTTGAACCCGCTGGGCGGTGCAGCACCATCTGTGTCCATTCTGTAGGGTGCATGCCATCTCCCTACCCCCCTTCAACGCCTCGTTTAAGAAGTAATAACGAGCTGTGGCCTCCCGCTCGTGGTCTTGGTTTGTTGCGGAGGCTCCAGCGCTGGGCCTGTAACCGCTCAGGGGCACGCTGAGCGGCTCGGCTTAGCGGGCCAGGCCTCCCGTTCGCGCCTGCGATGGGAGGGAGTTGCGCTGCTGTGCTCTGCACGTCCCCTGCCCCCGTCCTCGGAGTGGAGTTAGACATCAGGAGATCCAGCAGTGAGTGCGGTTGGGGCGGCACGGCGGAGACATCCGTAGGGGGTGACGCTCAGATTCTCCACAGGTGCACGGGGGGCAGAGCGGAGTGGGGGAAGGGGCAGATGTCAGAGAGGCCGCGGTGGTGGCCGCCGCTCAAAGTTGATTTACGTTTTCCGCCCAACACGGCACTGATCTCCCGCTCACCCCGTCTCTCCGATCCCGCTGACTTCATCCCCGCGACCCCCTGTCACCCCCTCTTCCTGACCCCTGACACCTCGGTTCCTTGACCCCACTCGGCCAATCCCCTGACCCCACTCGCCCCTCATCCCCCCCTCCCCCCCAGGGCCGCTACGGAAGATGCTCGAGGAGGGAACGGCACGGAGCCTGCGTGCCGCGGGAGCTACACCCCCAGCCAGATGACGGCCATCTTCCCCAAGTGAGTAACAGAGCCAACGCGTACGTCGCCACCACCACTGTCCCTCCGCTCACAAACATACCAGCGTTTTTTACACGTAATTTCAGCTGCATCGGTTCAATGCATTCTGTGTCTCGTCAGCAGTCTTGCTTGCTTGAACCGATTCTGGTGAACTGTCCAGATGTGCATAGGCAAAGGGCTCTCTCTTTTAGATGTGGGTCCTAGTTCGACGCAAAACTAGATCCCGCGAGACCATAATTTGCGGTATTGCAGATAATATAAGCGACAACAACAAAAACCATAAGCAGACAATGCCGCCTTTCCGTACCTCCACGTATGAATCTATACCTGCACATAAAGGAGTATTTTGTTTAAATATCCCGTCGACGAGCGAAGAGTCGCGCTCCCCGCGGCGCGGACGCGACGGGGCGCCGGAGAGCGGCCCCGCACCGCTGCTTAAATGGAACGTGGAAAAAACTGTGGAAAATGAAAAAAAACTCCGTCCAGAGAAGAGGAAAAACGAGGAAGAGTCCATTAGGGGGGCTCCCTCGCCTGGTATGCAGGAGGACGTGGGTTTGATCCCGACCCTGACGACGCTTGCTGTATATTTGGAGTTTGTGTGTCTCTCTCTTCGTGGTCATGTGGATTTTACTCTGAGTCCTTCGGTTTTTCCAAGTTTAGAATCAATGTCACGTGTTTAGAGGATTTGACGACTATGAAGTTCCACATGACAATCAGAATGGAATATTTAGACTGCAGGAAGAGGAATCCGATGAGCTATGAAGCTCTTTTTCACAGATGTCCGTATTGGGCAGATCAGCAAGTTAGAACAGCGAACAGGAAAAACATCACGATAGGAGTACAACATAGAGAAAAAGGAAAGCAAGTAACTACATGTAACTAAATAATAAGTAATTTATATAGATCTGATTTATAGCTTGGGCAAGTCATCCACTTCTGAAAAATATCGATGTAGCTCAGTGGGTCTTACCTTGTGGAATAAAATAGTATACTTGTAGTTTATTACAATGAGCGTGGCGGCCTTGTTTCGTGCGGAGAGCGCTCCAGATGATGGTCGTGAGCGGCCGGGCTGGGCCGGGCTTGAAGCCAACGCGCACGCAGCGATGCGCGGGCCGCACGACCGCACAACACACACGCAGGGACGCGCTCTAGCGATCTATTTTTTTCTACTTTTTTATATTTTCCCTTTTTTATTTATATATGTTTACGCAACTGCCAACCAGAGGCCTGTCCCGTCACGCGGCCAGCAACCAACAGCACTGTTAGCAAAGCGGTAAATAGTTGGAGTGTAACACGTGTCTTGAATTGAGTGAGGGGTGGGGGGAAAGACGATGATGATGAGTATGATGGGAGGAGAGAATTCCAAAGTGGAGCGGTGCGAGGGACGAAGCTGAAAGAGAAGTGAAGTGACCTGCAGTGTGGTGGGTGGGCGGGTAAGTGGAAGAGTGGGTAGGTGAGTGATTGTGTATGTTGGTGCATAGGATAGTGAGTGAGTGAGTGGTCGATTAGTGATTGGTGTGTGTTGTCGTGACCTGCAGTTTGGTCGTTGAACACGGTACGGATGAGTGTGGTGGGTGAGACGAAACAGTCAGTGTCTGGTAGACCGAGCTCTCAACATAGCAGGAGGAATCAATTATTGAGGTTCATGGAACACAGTAACCATGGTAGTAGCGATAGAAGAATGATGAGGAGACTGAGCCAGTGAGTGAGCGAGTGTTCTGCACGTGCACAAAGCGTGCGCACGTCACGCGTGTGTGTACTGCACACGTGTGCGCCTCTGTGCGGCTTGCACAGCGTGTGCGTTTGCGTAACGTGTATATGCGCGCGCTCTCTCTCTTGGCCGCTCGCTATTTGTTTATTTTAGTCGCAGGAGGATTTTTGCCGGTTCAGCCCCTAAAGCTCGCGCCTTGAAGGCAGCGCAGACGACAGCGCAGCGTTTTAGCCTAAGCCTCCAAATCCCTTCACCCTTCACAACAGGCGGTGACGGGACGGGCGAGCCAGCGAGGGAGCGAGGCTGCTCACCCGGCCCGGTTTTGTTCCCTCTGCTGGTGACGGCATGCGGCCCCTCTCGGGGTCACGCGTGGCACGGCGGGGCTGCGGCAGCGGCACGCGGCTTTGTCGAGCTTCACTGGGCAGCGCCGCCTGCCCCCTTGGCGTGCCCGCTGCTCCCTGGAGCGAGCGAGCGAGTGAGCCGGGCCCGTGACCTCCCGCTGCTCCTCGCCCCCCTCGTCTTCCATCGGGCTCGGGCTACTTCCCAAGAAGGGGTCCCCAGGTTTAAACTGTGGGCCTGGATGGTCATTTCCACAGAGGGAGATTTCGTATTTTCACTCAGTCAGTCAGGTGGCTGCCCAGCGCTAGAGCGAGCGGCTCACATTCGGAAGGCTGTGAGTTCAAGTTCTGGTTGGGGGAGGTTGACTCAGCCCATCATCCCTCCCTCCGGGGTTGATAAAATTATGACCGCTTTGTGGGGTAAGTCACCAATAATTGTCCTATGCATTGACTCATCCCTGCCATGGGAATTGGGAATTTCCACTACTGGCTCCAGGGCTGTAAACATGAAATGAGCGCAGCCCGAATGCCAGTTTTGAGCACTTTGACTTGGCTTGCAATTGCTCCTGCAGCGTTCGGCACGATCAGCCTGGGCTCCAACAGAGCTCAGTGGACCACATCCCGGAAATGAAACTATGGGATGAGAGTGTTGTGGGCGAGGAGAGGAAGCATCCACACTCAATCCCGCTCCTTCACAATGACGAGACCGTTCACTTGGCGTTGGATTTAGTGCCTGTTCAGCTTGAACTGGATCTCTATTTGGAAGCGAGAGTAGCCAGGTGGTTCAGGGGTCAAACAAAGACAAAGGTCCTCCCGGATAGCCTGAACAGATCACTTCATGAGCACCACGGCGCATGAGGTGGTGGGACCGGTTCACATATTCGCCACTGTTGATGTCGTGAGTGGGAATCGAACTTGGGTTGCCGGGTTCGTAGCACGGTGCGTTAACCACTGCGCCACTGCTCCTTAACTCAGGGGTCAAATACAAAGGTCCCCCGTATAGCCTTAAAAGACTGTTGGGGCAAGTGCTGTTAGTGAGCACCTATGAAGGCCGGCACGGCACACGAGGGGGTAGATGGCCAACACCACGCTCAGCCGCCTTTGTCTCCCCATATACACATCGCCAATGGATATTCTGCACGGACGGGGTTGAAATGGTAAAATAACACAGACAGCATTTACCAAAAGAAAACGCTTACTGACGCCTATCTGGGTAAAGGCACCTCAGATGTGGTTCTGTGACGTCATCTTCTGCAACCGTTCTCTGACACATCGCACGGCGTGATACGTGTTCCGAGACGTTCATTGGGGCCAGGGAGGAACAGTTCAGCTTCATATCGTTGAGAGGGGGCTTTCCGTATCTCCAGAGCTGGCGTGGGTGGGCGATCGCTGGGCTGCGCCTTTACCAATCGTGGCACGATGACGATGACACGGTGGGGATATCTAGGGGTGTAAATAGTGAAAGGAAAAAAATACGACAGTAATGGGCAGACAATTGGCCTCCGTCACATCCATCCCTCCAAGGAACAAAGCAAGAAAGTATGTTTCACACATCCCGTCAGCAGCATAATTTCAGCAGCATTGCTTCAACCCAAGCAAAACTCTGGACCCGGTTTTGACATTCAGTGTCTCAGCTTGATCCATTGCTGCTGAAGTTCCAGACGTTTGTATTGGAAGACCACACTCCCAGAAAGTCGTATTCTCCCGGCGATGCTCATGATTATTTAGAAGTTACGCAGTTGAAGACGCGACAGTGTCAATTCGTGCCAGGCTCACAGCATCATCATAGCGACGATTCGCCACTCCGCCACCACCTCAGCGTAGCATCACAGCTGCTGCTCTGCATCGACAGCAGTGGCAGCCGTATGGAATAGACGCAGCGCAGCGATGCGCGCGTGCGGCGGCTCGTCCGATGGCGTGCGTGTCAAACCTGTGCGCGGATGAGGTCAGGGGGGACGTGTGACAACGATCGCCTCTTCTCAGAGCGCGCGCGTCTATTTCTGGCTCGTACGGCCGCATAACGGACAGCGTCTGGCCCGCACCCCGCCCTCCCATCCTCCCACACCCCCCCCACTCACGCCCCGTCTTTCTAGCATCCCCGCCGCACTCTCCCCTCCCCCCGCGGCCCGCGTGCCACCCGCCCCGGGTTGTGCTAATCAGGACGGCGCTGGCGGCCTTATCGTTGACATCTTAATCTTCTGCAGCGGGGGGATGTCAGATCGCGAAAGCTTTCCGTCACGGCCTTCACACTTGTCGACAGACGCGCGCGGTCGTCCCTGTCGGACGTGCCCCTAACGTCCAATGAGATTTCCCGCCGGCGTGGTTGTGCTGCGCTGCGGCACCGGTCTTTAGGGTCACCATCATCGCCGCTCGCTTTTGTTGGCCCATCGTGTCTGTCGGCCGAGGGGTTCTGTCTTACTAGGTGAGCCCCGCTTTAGTGAAATACGGGCTTCTCCTCGTCTGCCTCCTCCTCTCCCTTCTTCTGCTACCTGCATAATGGTAATTAAAACACAGCCGGATAAATCATGTTTCTGATTAGCTTAAGGGCCGTGCTGCCTCCAACACGACCCTGTCGATTGGGTTTGAAGGGTGGAGTCCAATCACTGCGGCGGTCAAAGGTGGACGGTTTTTACAATATTAACAGGGCAAGGCAGACTCGTGACCCGCGGCTTCCCAATTAATGCTCGCTGGGAAGCGTGTCCACGCCCGGTGAAGGCTTAACATTCCGGAGCTCAACCGTCAGCCGCTGGATGTCGGAGCGGTTTTGACGTCGGCGTTGTGGCCGGTTTCGCAATCCATGAGGGAGATAATGCCGAGTTCGGATCACGGGCACCGCAAGCTCGCGGCGGGTGGCCCCTCCCTCCCTCCCTCCTTCCCTCCGAAAACGAACCTGGCGCTCCTCCCTCCCTCCCTTGGCCCCACGCGTTCATCTGGCGGGCGAGTCCGGCCCCGAGACGATTTTTACGAGCGCGCCCAATTTGTGCTCGGACGTCCGCGGGCCAGATGCTCACGCGTGCGGGTGGGCTGCTCGCAGCCTCCATATCTTTACTGCTAGTAAAATATTCGTTTCGGGACGAGCGCCAGGTTCGTTTTCGGAAGCGGACAGAGACCCCCGGAACACGTCGGACGGACCGCCCGCCCGTGATCGCTGGTGCCTACCAAATCGGGCGGGATGACAATGCGCCCTCCTGCCTGTAATCACGAGCGACGCCGGCGCAGATCTCTTGTTGAAATGCCCCGTCAGGTTTGGTTCGGCGTTTATTTCGCCGGGTGGTGAAGTTGGGGGAGCGGCAGCCGTTTGCCGCTTTTGCCAATCCTGCGCCGGGCCCGGTCGCTCGCTCGCGTGGCCCCGAAGCTCCTGCCCCTCGAGCATTGGCACCGGAGATCCCCCGCTCCTTGTCAATGTCTCTCCTTCTGCCATCGAGTTTTTCCCTGACGATACGTTGTTTTCTTTTCCGGAAAGCTGCCGTCCCCGCCGTCGCGAGCACCTGTCACTGCCGCCACATGCGCCCGCCAAGCGCCGTTTTGGGCCAAAAGGCGCACTCGTTAAACCTGACACCGAGCCGGGGGGGCCGCCGCGGCGGTGGTGGCTGTGGCGGTTGCGGCGGTGGCGGCGCTGGAATCCGTGAGAAACGGGCACCCACGTCCCCCACACCTGCCCCGCCGTCAATCCTCGTGCCGGCGACGGCACTGAAAGATGGAGCCCTCTGCCGCCGGGGGGTTGGGAGAGAGCAACGAAGCGGGCCCTTTGTTGTTCCGCGTCACAGGAGACGTCCGCGTGTCACGCGAGACCGTCTGTATCACACGGGGGTCCTGACTGTGTCGCGGTCGTCTGCGTTACACAAAATCCCGTCCCTCCGTCACATTAGATCCTGTTTGTCATTGACACCCCGTCACATGATTCCCCGCCTGTGTCGCGAGAGATCCGGTCCGTGTCACGCAAAGACCGCGTCACGCGAAATCGCGGCTTTGTATGTGCCATGGGAGTCTGTGTCACGGGTCGCTCTCTGTGTCTCACCTGAGATTGCTCTCGGGTGTGTCATGTGACCGTATGTGTCACACATCTCACGTGGTCATGTGTCTGTGTCACGTGACCCAGTGTCTGTGTCACTTGACTCTGTGTCATGTGAGCATGTGTGTGTCATGTGACCCTGTGTCTGCGCCACGTGACCGCGTGTCTGTCACGTGACCCTGTGTCCTGCAGGTTTGTCCGCGTGGCGCCCATGTTCCTGGACAGGAGCTTCAAGAGGTGGGGGAGACTCCGAGACTTTTCCCCGCCCTTCGGGCTCCGCGGCCAAGGTTGGTCCAACCCTCCCTTCGCGTCCCTTCCCTACCCCCTCCCCTCCCTCGTTTAGGAAATACAAATAACAAACAGGGCAACAGTGTAGGCCCGCTGGCTGTGGTTCTGTGAGCCTGGGCCAAGACTCAGGCATTTGTATTGATTGATTACATTGCGCTGGGTATTTTTATAGAGTTGTGTGTCAAAATAGGACCCATATCTCACAGGGTTAGGGGTTCTTGCTGCCTCTAAACGTCTGGCTATTCACCAGCATTGGTTCAGTCAAGCCTGACTCTGCTGATGAGACATTGAACGTTTAAACCGGCCAAGAGTTTTGTCTGTTTGCCAGCATTCTGGATCTTGGTGAGAGTCTTAGAGGGTGACAGCAGCTGTGCGATCCCAGAGGTGGGATTGGGACTTGAGTTGGCGGCGAGGAGCATTGGTGAGGTCGCGGTTGGCGATGGGTAGGTGGTCGGTTGTCATTGGCAGTGGATGGACGGAGGGCTGTACACGAACATGCTTCATTGCTTCTTGGTGCTCGTTTGTCTCACCTGCACCCTTTGGTCTGCTCTGTGACGACGGAAGCTGTCGTATCCGCGAACTGTAAGCGAATGCCACTAGTTTGCGTGCGTGGCTCCACACTTGCGGCTCCACGCTCGCGGCTCCGTGTGTGCCCACTGAGCGTAGGAATTGCTTCCGGTTGGTAAATCCCCACACCCCCCCCCGAGCCTCGGCTGCCATGGGATGTGGTCGTGGCTGAGATTGTGGCTGGGATTGTGGTCGTGGCTGAGATTGTGGCTGGGATTGTGGCTGGGATTGTGGCTGGGATTGTGGTCGTGGCTGGGATTGTGGCTGGGATTGTGGTTGTGGCTGGGATTGTGGTCGTGGCTGGGATTGTGGCTGGGATTGTGGCTGGGATTGTGGTCGTGGCTGGGAATGTGGTCGTGGCTGGGATTGTGGTCGTGGCTTGGATTGTGGCTGGGATTGTGGTCGTGGCTGGGATTGTGGCTGGGATTGATTGTGACTGGGATTGTGGTTGTGACTGTCGTTCTGGTTGTGGCTTTAACTGTTTGATGTCGTGGTGGTGACCGTGGTTCAGCTTGTTGTTGCTGTAGTAGAAGTTGTGATGATGATTATAATCATTTCTGTGGCAGTGGATGGGGTAGTGGCTGGGGCTGCGGTTTTGGCTGTGTCGTGTTCCAGTTGTTGCTATGGCTGTGGTCTTGGATTGTAGCCGTGCGTGCGTGTGTGTGTTGTTTTAAATCATTTTTGCTGAACACACAGGCCCCAAATGCCAGCACCTAAGTGTTCGGCACCTAAGAGCTGTAATGATAGCTCAGTAATGAGAGCTCAGTAATGGTAATAGTCCAGCAGCACCGTGAGTGGTCCAGTCGCCCAGGGCCAGGAAACCTCTTACGCACATCGTGGGGTTGGTGGGGTGGGGGGGGTGGAGGGGTGGCTGTATCGGTGAATGTTGGACGGCTCTGGTGGAAACGCCTGGTGGACACCACTGGTGGACAACCCCTTGGAGATACCTCTGGTGGACACCACTGGTGAACTTCTCTGGTGAACTCCACTGGTGGACACCACTGGTGGATGCCTCCAGGGCGATGAGCAGCCGTTGTTGTGGCGGTTCAGAGACATCGCTGTGTGCCGTGGCTTTCTCCGACGATGATGATGATCTCCACCGCCGAGTGGAGCCCACTGCGACTGCCGGTGTTAGTTTTAGGTCTCAAACAGGACAGGTTTTTAGAGCATAACACAAACGGGAATTAAATATATATTTTTTTCTCCCTAAAATCATAACCAATGAAGAAAAATATACGGCAGGCTGTATTGAAAAATGACGCCCTGGGCTCGCGCTCGCTGTGCGCTGTGTTTAATGGCACGGCCATGTACGTCGCTGGCACATCGTGTTTTGACAGTTATCAGTTAGACAGATATTTATTGGAATGCCAAGTACATTGCTAAAAAAAATCCCTTGTTTTGACAGTCATCAGTAAGACGAATTAGCGCTTTCTCGGGGGTCGGGGTGATGGCACGGTGAGTCTCGGATCGTTTCCCGCTTCCATTTTTAATACCGCGGCACCATTTTTCAACGCCGTGGCCCCCATGGATTCCATCCCCGGGGCCGCGGTTTCACACGATCTTGTGAACTTTGATTTGGATGCGAGCTTCTTAATCCTCTATATTTTTTTTACTTACATCTGGCCTTCGTCGATCTCTCTCTCTCGGTGTCACCCTCACAGCCGCTGCTTGAGTCCCGCGTGACGGACGCTCTCCATAATTTGTTATTGTCGGCATCTTCCCACCAAATACCGCATACGTTTGACCGCGTACGTTTCGGCGTCCTTCCTCTTCCCGCTTTCCGTTCTCCATTTTTCCGTCAACGATCGTCTTCCTGATCAACCCGGCCGATACACTTGTGGCGAGTCGCGCCTACACCTCCACCTTCCTCCCCGACGACTTCCCGTCAGTTCCTCGTAGTGTCCGTCCCCTCGTTCTGCGTCTCCGACGCGATCGGCCTTTTCACATCGTCCCTCCACACCGCCCGCTCCGCACTTTACCGCCGGCCTTCTATCGCTCCGTGCTACCCCAGGATGCCTCACGAGACGAGAGACGTGGCTCTGCCTGGGATCTTGGGCTCGGGCGTTTAAGGTCACTCGATCGGAGCGGTGGCCGCTCGTCAAACTGGGGCGAAATACGTATGCATGCACGTACGTACCCACGCACGTACCCATGCAGGCGCGTACGCACGCCGCTTATACAAAGTCACACGTACACACACACGTACAAAGATCCCCCGTATAGCCTTAACAGACTGTTGGGGCAAGTGCTGTTAACGAGCACCTAAGAAGGCCGACATGGCACGCGAAAGCGGTGGGTGGCCAGCACCACGCCCGGCCGCCTTTTTCTCCCCAGTGGCGATGTTTACACGCCGTTCCAGGTACTCATTTGAGGCTGAGTTTACCAAGGGGAGGCCCAAGATCGGTTCAGATAATAGTCACTGATGTTGGTGGCCGTGAGCAGGAATCGACATGCACACACATGCACGCATGTACACACATGTATGAAAACAAATCTCCCCTAGGGCCTCCACAGACATTTGGGGCAAGGGCTGTTAGGGAGCGCCTGTGAATGCGTGCACGGCTTTCATAGCACCGCACCCGACCACCTTAGTCTCCCCAGTGGCAATGTTTATGCACCGCACCAGGTACTCATTTATGTGGACATAGGGGAGGCCCAGGTTCAGTTAAAATATCCGCCATTGTTATTGGTTGTGAGTGGGAATCGAACTAGGGCGGTCGGGTTCCACTGCGTCACTGCTCTCCAAACGCACATACACACTCATGCACACATGCACGTGCACACGCGTGTGCATGTGCACGTACACACAAGCGTACGCTCGCAAGCACCGGCGGCAGGTGGCACCGTGCCAAGCCCGCTGACAATCGCGCCCGTAAACCCCGGCCGTCCGCAGGCCCGGCGACCGCTTCCCTTGGCGACCGCGCCTAGAGTGGAGCGGAGCGCCGGCCATGATGGCGGAGGGGGGGGATGGGGGCGGCTGCAGCCGGAGGGTCGCGGCTTTGCGAGGCTGGCGTGAGCGTTGGCACCTGATTGCGCGGCGGCTTTTGTGACGGCCCTTGGCGTTTGGGCTGCGCCACGCGATACGGCGAGTTTGTTTTGGGGGGGCGGGCGTGGAAATCCACCATGGAGTCTGGAGATAAGGGTCCTGATGGCAGCCGGGCGGGCGGGCGGGCGGGCGCATGGGCTATGGAGCCAGGAGGGAGGGGTGGGAATGGCATGGGGACGTTGTTCGGTTCCGTCATTCAGGATGAGCCTTCGTGGTGAAAACGCGCCACCGCTACCCACCCCTTCCCCCCCCGGGTGTGTGGGATGGCCCTGGCTCGGCCTTTCAATCCGACACAATCGGCTCCTCGCATCGCGACTCGCCACCGCCGCCGCTCGCCGTCGTTTTCGATCGGCCTCCCTGTACCCCCTGTTTGGATCAATTGACCGACGTTCTCAGCGACGGTGCATGCCCGTGAGGTGTTGAAAACTCGCAGGAAAACGCCGCTCTGGCTGCGTTGCTCACCTCCGCGCCACTTGCTGTCCCGCCCGACGAATGTCGGCGCAGAGCGGCGCATGGCCCGTGCTCGTCTCGCCACTGGCGGCCGCTCGAATTCCTCACGACGGAGTTCCTAACGACGGCCCTGCCTTGTCCTTGCAGAAAAGATCGTCAACGAAATCTTGGCGAAGACGAAAGAGTCGGACCTGCCTCTCCACTTGCAGAGGTGAGCGGAGCGTGGGCCCAGCGAGGCCTGACAGGGCGGCCAGGTTTGCGGCGGCGCACATCTGCTGCTAACGAGCGCGGGATCGGTCCCCCACACGTTCTTGGCGGTGAATTCTGAGGCCGGCGCATTTCGAGCGCAAGCGGCGCGATGTTAACAAACCTCGGTATTTTTTTCTAAACAATCCTAAACCACTGGACTCGAAGCCAAATGCAGAGTTTACCGCAAAACCTTTGTGACCACACTCGGTTGTTTTGGCTTCGAGGTTGGCCCACAGCGCCTGTATGGCAACCCCCCCAATACAGACCGCTGGTCTCTGCGCCCCCACCCCCAAGTCCCAGCACTCTCCCCCCCCCTCCCACCCAGGTTACTAAGGCCACCGTGCGCCGAGAGATCACGTGTCCTCCCCTGCAATCAATGTGGCGCTGTTACCGAGGCATTCGGTTTACACCGTCCGACAGCGTTGACGTTCTGCAACGTGGCGGCAACCTCTCCCGGCGTCGCGTTCGAATGTTTCCTGCGCGGTGTCCGCGCCGCAGCTCACTCACCCCCAACGGGGCCGGCGCGTCCGCGGGAGCGCAAGAGAGGGCCGAACATATTTTCCCCGCGCGCGACGCTGACCTGCGACCCACTCCTCGACCACGCACGCGTGGCGGTGCAGCGCGTGCAGGCGCTGCGTGATCGTGGGGAGTGGCGGAATCCTCTTCAACAAGTCGCTGGGCGCCCGGATCGACGAGTACGACTTCATCATCCGGTGGGTTTCGGTGCCGCTGGATTTTGGCTTCGAAGGTGGCGTTGTGGCGAGCGGAGCCAGAAGCTCGCGACGCTTTCTGGGCTCCGCGCCACCTCTGTGCACTTCCCGGGTCTCCACCGATTATTGAGCGAGCTGCCGCCTCCCCCCCCTCCCCCTCCGAGAGGGGAACTGCTGGTGATTGAATGTAAAGCGCACAAGGACCTCGCTTCATCATCAAGTCTCCTGCTGATCCACCACCACCACATGGACTCCACCTCGTGGGCACCACAACCAATAATGCGAACATCACCACAACGACCACCCTTATGTGAATCACCACCACCATGAACACCCTCGCTACTGTCACTACTTGCACCACAACACTTTCACCAACTCCCACAACACCTTCACCACTTTCACCAACACCACTACCTTCACCACCAGCACTTTCACCACCAGCACCTTCACCACCACCATCCCAATTGTGGGTACCTCCTCCACCAACCATCACGGACACTACCACCACCACCACAACCACAGTGCTTTGTTGTACCGCCGCCCGCCCCCAGGCTGAACAACGCTCCGGTGCGTGGGTTCGAGCGCGACGTGGGTGCGCGCACCACCATGCGCATCACTTACCCCGAGGGCGCCATCCAGGACCCGCGCAAGTACGAGGCCGACTCGCTGTTCGTCTTCGCCGGCTTCAAGCCGCACGACTTCCGCTGGCTACGCAGCGTCGTGTACAGTGAGAAGATGGTGAGTGAGCGGGCGAGCGGGCGGATGGGTGAACGAGTAAGAGCGAGAGAGAGAGGGGGGGCGTCAATTGCGTAGCCGACAGCCACAGCCGAGATAGAGAGACCAGAGGGGAAAAGTGATAACACAGAAGCAGACAGAGAAAGAGTACACCTGTGAGACTGGAGAGAGTCTATCCTCCTGTTTGGCTAAATGTTCACAGTCGGTAAAGTATCCGCCTTGAGCAAGCACAAATAGACTTGGCTTGACCTCCTGAACTCTTGACACCGCACTGGCCTAGGGTGGCCAAAGCCTTGCAGTGGTCACTGATGCCGAGCTTCAAGATGCCGCTGCCAGGCTTCTCATCCACACCCACAACAAAAACGACATCACCACAATGCTCCCGTCCCTCCACTGGCTCCCAATACCATCCTAGATCAATTTCAAGATCGCACAGTCACCCGATTTGAGATTATCCACGCACGCTCGTACCGCATCCCTCTCATCTCACTCTACTCCCAACTCCACGCACTGTCAGCTCAAGCAACCAATACTTTTTGTCAAAGCCTCCAGTCGACCTTTGTTCAGTGGAAGGTCGCTCATTCTGCTCTGTTGCCCCTATGGTCTGGAACTCCCTGCGCCCCAGCCACCAATGCTGTCGAGTCCCTGCCCCTGCTCAAAGTTTCAGCTCAAGATCCTCCTCTGCTTCTCCACCAATGACAGAGTCTGCCTTTGTCGATGAAGAATAAACACTCCCTCTGTTTGTTGCGCACAGTGTCTTGACATGCGGGTACAGCATTTAGACGCTGTATAAACCCAAACACGTATTGTGTTGCACCTAGCAGGCCTCGAGAGAGAGCGAGAGACCAGGAGAGAGAGAGACGGAGAGCAGAGCTAGCAGAGAGAGCGCACGCCGTATGAGAACAGCGCTCGCCGGTGTTCCCAGCATTTCTCAATGCCACATGCTTGGGCTTTGCTAGCGTTCAAAAGCCGTTTGAATGAAGTGACCTCGGAGCCCTTTTGGACCACGTGTGTCGGGGCCGGGTACGGGGGCCGGTGGGGTGGGGGGGTGCAGGTGGGGGAGGGGGGGGCGGCCCGCAGAAAGCCATCGTCAGCACGGGCGGCGGTGCGGGAGGTCATGTGGCGTGTTGTCAGCGGAGTGTGGCCGAGCAGGCGGGCCCGGGGGCCCCGGACCTCGTGGGTCACCTTTGTGCAATCGCAACGGGGCTACATACACGTGATGTTTAGCTTTGCGCTTTGCTTGTTGTTTGAAAGATGCTCAGAAATGTTTGGCGATGCGCAGAGTGATCCCATATGCCGACCGCCGCGGCCGAGTCACTTTCAATCTCGTCAGCCCCCCCTCCCTCGCCGTGTTTGGCCTGCGCAACCCGAGCGGCCACACGCGTAACGCTTCAGAAGGCCCCAATTGCTTCATGAACGAGAAGCGTTTACTGCGCTGCTCTGGGAGGTGTTGGGGGCCCCTTGCTAGGACCCGTTTTAGCGACGCGACGCCGCTGCTGCCGCTGCCGCCACCGCAACCACCTTCAACCCGGGGGGGGGGCTGGGGGTCCACGCACCCTTCCTCATGCAACGCTCTTCCGCCACTCCGCTTGCTCGCTCGCTTTTGCGCGCGTCCTATGCTCATGCGACAATGGCCCCCCGGTGTAGAGGAAAGAGAAACAAGCACCGGCCGTTCGCTCGCTCGCTCGTCGACCGGGGAGTGGAAAGAGTCGTGGGGACGCCGTGATGGGGCGGCAGCGCGAGGCGGCCCCCCCCGGCGAGCGGGACGCCGTTCCGCCCTGCGGACCGCGGCTGCTTTTAAACGGCGTGGAGTGAAAGGCGAGCGCGGCCATGGCAGAGGAGGCGGAGTGGCCCGGCCGCCACGGCTCGCGGAGCCGCAGCGATTGTTGCGTTCAAATTCCTGCGTGGGTCTCGGGCCGCTGGCGAATCTGTGTAAACATTTTCCATTTTCAGAGGAAGCTTTGGTTTTTTTCTCCCTCCCCGCGCTGCCGCGACAAAGCGGCAGCCGTCCCATTTTATATATTTAATTTGCCCAGAAAGGGGAGGGATGTGGGGGGGAAATAGCTTTGGCGAGCGCGGCTCTGAGCGACAGCTCTCAGGTAACGCGATCGGTTATTTTGAGATGAAAACAAAAAAAAACCTCTATTACTATGGAATGCGCGTCGCTCCTTGGCAGGGCGCGGGAGAAACCCGGCTGATGCGGACCGCACTTAATCACCCGAACCACAAGAACGCAAATGGCGTTCCTCCTCTGCCGCAGCGTGATCCCTGCCGTTGGGACAGAGTGTCATGCGGCCGTCCCCGAGTGTGTGCGCCGCTCCTCTTGCGTGCGCGCGCGTGCGTGCGTGTGCGTGCATATGTGTGCGTGATCGTGTGCGTGTAAGCCTCTGTGCGCATGAGTGACCGTGTGCGACAATGCGTTTGACAGTGTGTGTGTGTGTGCATGTGTGAATGGGTGTGTATGTAACTGTTGTAATTGTGTGTGACCATATACGTGTGACTGTGTATGTATAGGGTGTGACTCCGGGTGTGTGACGGTATGTGATTGTATGTTTGTGACCACGTCAATGAATGGCTATATGTGTATCTGAGCTACAAACACGGCCACATGAGTTCGATTCCCACTCATGGCCAAACCAGTGACGATTTTCTGAACTGGTCCTGGCCCTCCCCAAGGTCGACTCAGCATCAATGTTGCTAATAGGGAGACAAAGGCGGCCGGGGCACGGTGCTGGCCATCCACCCCCTAGTGCGGTGTGCCGGCCTTCATAGGTGCACTTGCCCCAACAGTCTGTTATGGCTAGATGGGGGATCTCTGTCTTTGTAGCCGAGTGTCTACGTGCACGCGGCTGTGTTAGCGTGCACCTGTGTTAGTTCTCGCGTGTGTTAGTGCGCATGTCTCTGCTAATTTTCTTTTCAATGTTTTTCCCAAGAAACTGAAGTGTGGTGCGTTTGTTTGAAGCAGGCCCGGGATGTCGCCATCGCGGCCTCCACACGCTCGGCGTTACCGTATCGGGAGGCCGCGGGCGTCGATGTTCTGTTGGCCCGTGTGCCCCTTGCGCGTCCCGACGGCTACTCGGCCCCCGTGTCGCTGTTTACTACCGAGCTCTCACGGAGTTTCTAAATCGTTTCTTCATCTTCATCCGCGGCAGGGGGAGCCTGCTGCAAGGTCGTAAATCAACGTTTGTTAGTGCGCACTGTCGGGCCCTACTCGTGCTCGCCAGCCTCCCACCGTCCCCGGCACCGTTCCCCCGTTCCCGGCACCGTTCCCCCACCCACGGCACCGTTCCCCCACCCACGGCACCGTTCCCCCGTCCCCGGCACCGTTTCCCCGTCCCCGGCACCGTTCCCCCGCCCCCGGCACCATTCCCACGGCACCGTTCCCCCACCCACGGCACCGTTCCCCCACCCACGGCATCGTTCCCCCACCCACGGCGCCGGTTGCCCCAGGGGCTTTCGGCGCGCAGTGTTGGTTCCCGCGGTGGCCATGCGCTGGCGCTGCGGTGAGGCGCGTCCATTCGGGAGTCGTGCCCAAGTTTGCATCTATGCGCTTGAATCATTGAGCTCGGCACTCGAGGAGCCGTCGCTCCACGAGTGCCGAGCGACAGTCAAACCCCTCCAATGGAGCGAGGTCTGGGTGGAGATGGGGGGGAGGCCTCCAGGCAGCGTGGAGCGAGGCCCTTGTGCGGTGACTCCTCGTACGTGACTCCACTATAAACTTTGCTGCTATAAATGTCCAAATGATGGGCCACTTTGCTGAGCTATCATTTGTGGCCAGGTCGCTTCTGAAAAATAAGTTAATACCTCGGTGGGCTTTGCTTGGTAGGATGGGGATGGGGGGGAAAGGAGACGGGGAGGGCAAGTCGTGTTCGTGGCTGATTAGGTAACGCGATAGGAACCTCCCAACGGCAATGCAAAAAGGGTCGCCCCTCAAATCCCTGGCCCACCGAACTGCTAATAGCCACGATTTTTGTTTTCATGAACGAGAGCGTCGGGTTTCTGGTAGCGGGCTTGGGACGGTAATCACCGGGCGGCGCTCGTGCGTGCGTGACACTGAAAAACAACGGCGTTTCTCCACCGCATGGCTTCATTACAATCTGGCGGACTTCAGTCGACCGTCAAATCACCTCCCAAATTTTGCCGGCTTAATTCTGAGCAGAGCGCTGCGCTCGGGGGGCCTCTCCCTGGCTAGGGACCGCGTGCGCGGCACAGGGTTCAAATCACTCAGCGCCACCGCTCCTCCTCCGTCGTCCCGCGCTCGCACGAGGGTTACCGGGCGCGCCGCGGTTCCCACCAGCCGGTACCGCTGACTCGCTTTTCGCGCAGTCCAAACAGAGCGAGTGATGTATTTGGTTCCATTTTGCCGGTTATTGGGAGGGGTGTCTGTTGCCCCCCCCCCCCCCCCCCGGGTCACGGTTGGATGCTACAGAATCTTCACATTGACGTTTGGGACTTTGCGGGGTTTGTGAAAACATTTTCAAGAATTCGGGCCGGCGTGCCGGGTGCTGGCTCGTGAGACGGGCTGAGAAAACAGTCGAGTTTTCTTTCCATTTGGTTTTTCCATTTTTTTCTTTCCTCCCCCGCCCCCTCAGTTCAACGCAGACGTTCACTTTGTCCTCAGCCTCTCGGCTTCATAATTGACTCAGCAGCTACACCCCCCCCCCCCCCGTTGATAAGTTCCAGTCAATTTGTTTAAAAGACAGATAAGCATCCTTATCAGTGCTAGCCACTCCCGGGGAAATTGGCTTGAAGGAGATGGGACCGGGCCGCTTAATAGCGTGTGCGAATGTGTGTGTGCGCGCGCTGCCAGCACGCTCTCTGCATACGTACACGCACTCGTGCTCGTACCCAGCAAAGGCAAAGGTCCTGGTGTAGCCTTTAAACAGACTGTTGGGGCAATGGCTTGTTATCGAGCACCTATTAATGCTGGCATGGCATACGAAGGGGGGAGGGTGGCCAGCACCACGCCTGCCGCCAGTGGCGATGTTTACACACCGCACCAG